AAAATACTTCAGTGCCATTCATCATTATGTGCCCAGGAGAATTTTATTTGGGATTCTGCAAAGTCTCCTGATTGTTGGTACATAATAAATGGCAATCTGGACTACAGTGAAACTGGTATGCTGTCGTTCATTTGGGATTTAGATGAAATAGCTCTGCTTCCCACTTTCCTTTGTCCTTCCCATTTCTTCTAGAACCACATCTGGTACAAAGAAGAGGGATATCGATTTACTGAGGCTTTAAGCCATGTGAAAAGGAAGTAATATAAGGAGAAAGAATATTAACGGTTTAAGATGCTTGGTTCTTGTTCTATTAATAGGTGTATTTGTCTACTCTGACTTGGCATTATCTGTAGTTTGGAAAAGGGTTTTGACCCTTATCTACCTAATGACTATCCAGGAGATAACTGCGATGAACCTTAGTTTCAATATATGCACATTTCATTTGGTGTTTTATTTTACATTACAGCAGTCAGTAGTCAAGGTTTTTACAGTTATTTTATACAATGTTATTTCGAATGTCCCTGTTGCTGTTACAGACTTGAACTTTCAGTTCACAGAAAGAAAATTTTATACGTTTTACAGGAACTGTAATTCTGTATTCTGTTTCTTTTAAGTACTGAATCAGAAAAACATCAGAGTTTAGCCAGCTAAGAGGAGAGGAAGTAAAATGTTCCTAGTAAGTATTAATTGCAGTTGTTGTTAACTCCTGATAGCGGAGCTGTGATCCCAGCTGCCATTGCTGGCATTGCCAGGTTTCTACCAAATGCAGCGGAGCGCTGTATGTGCCCTCTCTTCTGGCAAGTTAAGCTGTCTGGTCTCCGGGGGAACATGCGTGGTATCTCCCAACTGAGGAGACAGTATCCTGTAGTCTGTTAAGGAGGCTAATGCTCATGTATGCTATGAAGTTTCTGAAGAATTTTGCTAACATAAGAATAAAACCTTTCACAAGAAACAGGATTAACTACAGCAATTTGTTGTTAGCTCTGTGGTAGTCTAAGATTCAGGCTTTGAAGAGTGTGTCTTGGATTGTATTGAATTATCTACATGTATTGAGAAGGTAAATTAAAAAAATCCATTAACAACTCTTGAATCTTTCTTATGCTGCTAGATATCACGTGTGGAGCAAACATATCTGCCAAAACCTTTTTTTCATTTTCAGTGCTGGAATATTTGCACAGCTGTATTTTTATGATAGTATTTTCTGTTGTGCTACCTGTCACCAGAAAGCCTGCCAGTAGAGGTGGATAACATTATTAAAACTTTCCCAACAGTAATCTGAAAATATGATTGCTCTAATTATTGCAGTACAACTGAACTGTTTTGGACAATGGTCTGGTAGGGACCTTTGTCTGCCTATTTATTGAGGGCCCAGAGGGGCTTCAGATCTTTACGTGGCTTCCAAGTGGTGCTGGAATCCCTCT